CATCAGCATCGCCATCAGCGTCCCGGTCCGAGGGAGTGCCAGGCGCACGAGAAGTCTCTTCAACCGGCTCGGCCTCTTCGACATAGCCAATGGGCTTCTCCTTGTACCGCTTCATGTTCTCGGCCGGGGCCCCTTTGGGATCGGTAATGGAGATCTCCACCTCGTTGACAACCTGCGTCTCGTCGTCCACCTGACTAAGGGTACGAGCGATATTCTTGGCGCGCTGGGGCCGGATAGTCGTGCGTTGGATAACCGGGTAGTAGTACGCCGCCTTGGGCCTGCCGCCCGCGGAGGGCTCGTCGTTGAAGGCGAGGATGACCTCTTCGCTATACTTTGTGTTGTGGTCCAGCTCGATCTCCTTTGTCGTCTCGTACGCGCGCAGACGGGAGAACTGGAAGCACGGGTTGGAGCCGCTCTGGTACGTATAGAGCGACTCGTCGTCGCGGTCGGGGTTCTCCGGGTCGAACTTGGCCCGGAAGTTGTCGCCCGTCGTCTTGGTCTTGGGGAGGAAGAAGCTGTAGTCCATCAGGTTGGCGGGTTTGGGGTTGCGTGCGGGATCACGCTCGTGGGCCTCGACGGCGGCCTGGAAGGCCTCGTTCTCCTCGGGACTCCTGTCCAGGGGGCGGAGCAGACCGCTGAGCAGGCGGCTGTCGTACTTGTTGGCGCTGGCCACGGGGTTTGTGAGGAGCTTGACGGTGACGTAGGCGCCCGAGTCGGGGAAGGCGTCGTGGTCGGGCAGCAGCGGCAGAGACTGCGTGAGATGGACGTTTGGTTTGCTCGGGTGGCGATGGCGGGTCGGGTTGCTGAGGAAGCGCTCGGCGCTCTCGAAGCTCTTCTCAATCTTGCGTCTGATGGCGGCCGGTGAGTCTTTATCCGGCTCGGGGGAGCGACGCTTCTCTGCGCGCTTAATCTTGGGGTTGATGAATGCTCCCGCGGCGACACCAGCCTTTCTGGGTGCTACGGAGGAAATGTATTCTGTTCTTCTCAGGAAGGAGACTGATGCATCGGCGTTGCTCTTAGCTCGGCCAAGGGTAGACAGTGGTCTCAGGAGTGCTCTATCGTGGGGATGGACGGCAGGCGGATGCGAAGAGGCTTGGATAGCTGTATCGACGTCAGTACTGAGCTCCCCTTTGGCATAACGCGGCCGCGCTTACAGCTCTCGTCTCCGTCAAAAATACCCGGCATGCCCACTAAGTCCAAGGGCATGCCGAGCTCCGCATCGACCTCAATGTTGAGAGGTTGTTCTCTCGCCAGACGTGATGCGAATCCCGGCGTTGTGTACTGGCCGCTAGCCAGGCCGGTGTTTGGGATGTCGAGGAGTTTGGGAGGGTTAGGAGGCGGCGGGAGGGCGTTGGAGTATCGGATTCTGGCAATGAAATCCTGATGGATCATGCGCTCGCCGCCGCGAGGCGCCGAGGACGACATCGTGGCTGCTCAATGCGTTTGCGTTTATGGTGACTGATTCGATATCTGGGTCGCAATCGGGAGTTGAATTGGATTGTTGAGGGGAAGAGGATGACTTCAAGTATTGGCGGCGGGGAGCTGTCGTCGTCGCGGTCGCGTTGACCAGGAAGGTGCAATTGGCCCGGAAAAGTTCCACGAGGCTGGAGTTTGGGGTACCTTGCCTGTAGACTTTGGTTGCGCCAGCCAACGCCCGGACCTCGACCTGTAGCCTTATCAGCTCTATCAGACGAAGACACAGCACCCCCAAAGCTGCCAAACTTGACGTTGACAGACACCATTTAAAAATAAAAAATAAAAAAAGCGCCGTGTCGTGGATGAAGAATCAGAGACAGATTTGTCCTCTCTATTACAATACGTAGTATGAGATGAATGATTTCAAAGCAAAACCGTCACTCATCAACGGGGCAATGGCTCCCGACCGTGCAGGAGGACCTCCTGATGCGCCCCATATAGTTGGCCCGTCGCAACCATCCATGCACTCATACCCGTGGCCTCCTTTCTATAGGTACATAAAGTTTGCCTTCGCCCATCGTCGCCATCCAGACTTCGTCAAAAAATGTGTATTCATCCTCGCGTACTGTCTAATTTTTTCGCTCGGCGTGCCTAGACTCTTACACTTGTCCCACCTCGACGGGCGTGACAACAACATTTGTCTCTCGTAAAAACCCGCTGATTCCATCGCGTCGTAAAGTTGCGTGGCCCCCTTTTAGGAGCTGTTCTTGGCGTAGTTCTTCTTGCCAAAGGTGAAGGGAACGTAGCGGTACTTGATCATGTGCTGGATCTGCTTGCGCACTGCAAAGGGGTGATGGTCAGCTCTGCGCTAGAGTGAAATGTCAGGGAGACAAGGCGTGGGGGTGGAAAACGTACTCGTCAGGAAGAAGAGGATGAACCAGTACATGACCAGGACGGGCCAGAAAACGGGGACATTGAAGATCTCCCACCAACTGCAGAAGAAGGCGATGGCGATGGCGCGGGTGGCCCAGTACCAGAACTTGAACTCGGGGAGGCGGCGGATGAAGGGCTTGAACTCCTCGTCCTGCTTGGTGGGGAGGATGCCGACACCACCGTCCTCCATCTCAGTGTCCATGGCCTCGTTGGAGGGGTCAAACTTGGGTTGCAAGAAGGCCAAGAACAAGTTGAGCAGGTAGATTCCGAGAGCGTAGGCGACGATGTACCAGCCTTGCGCCACGAAGATGCGAGCGAAGAAGCCCAGGAGGCAGACACCCGTGGCGATCCATCTGTAGAGCACGAAGGGAGTTGACTGATCGAGAAGCGCCTGGTATTGCTGCGATGGGAGTTAGCAAGATGCCGCTAGCAGATTCTGGGGGGTTTATCGTCGTCGTACTCTTTGCAGCTTCGAGGTGTGGGCTGTGACCGACGAGAAGGCAGTCTGTTCCGGCTCGGCAGAGTCCATCTTGGGCGGTAGTTGCGCGGATGAACTTTGACGTGGGACAATCGTGCAATAAGCTTGTTGGCGTAGGTTGGCGTGGAAATGTAGCCGTGGACGAGGGTGCAAAGCTGGGATGACGATGCTGTGGGAAGAGGCCGCCGCTTCGCTGTCGCGATCTGTCAGGACGAATTTTTGGGTTGACGGGATCTCTGGAGATGGATTCAAGCCACGTAAGGCTTGCAACAAAACTGTCCCTTCCCTTTGAGATTGGCAGCGCGCCGCACCGCGCCTGCTTTTTCGCCCGAATCTTATCCGGCCCAGTGATTGGATTGCGCCCGTCAGTGATTGGATCCCCTGGAAATGGCCCGGACCAGCCCCTGTGGCGCAGCCTACACCCTGGAACCAGCCAGAGGGTCCGTCTCTGCCCAGGATCCCGCTGCTACAGGTGATTGCCGTATTGGAAGACCGAGCCTGTGACGCGGGGGAAGCTGTCACAGTGCGCGGCGAGTGTCTGTGCCTCGCCCGACTGTATCCTCGGCTTTACAGAGCCGATGCTTTCCAGCTATCCTCGAGCTTGGATTAAACGTCAACTGGAGCTCATCCTACCTGTTACATCACAGCTCCATCAACAATTCGTTTCATTTATTTCAGACGACATCTCTGTATCAATTGAGGTCAAGATCAATCATCTTTTGTAATACGTACAGCTCACAACATAACATCCCACTCCCATTGAGCGTCTTCCCGAGCTCTCATCTGCTTCACCATGAACTCACTCAGATACCTCCGGCCGGTGGCCTCGCGTATGCAGGCGCCGACACTGCCCAGACTCACACGTGGATTCGCCAGCAAGACATACGAGTTCATTCAGGTCTCTCAGCCCAAGCCTGGTGTTGGTCAAGGTAATTGCTGTTCCAGCCGTAATCAATCATCACTCTACGACGACGACGCTCACAATGATCCACTTTAGTGACGTTGAACCGCCCCAAGGCCTTGAATGCCCTCTGCACTCCCCTCATCCATGAGCTCAACGATGCGCTGAGGGCTTTCAACGCGTCGGACGAAACGTCCGTCATCGTCTTGACCGGCTCCCAAAAAGCCTTTGCCGCCGGTGCCGACATCAAGGAGATGGCTCCTCTCACCTTTTCCGAGGCATACACCAAGTCCTTCATCGAGTCGTGGTCGCTCCTCACCACCGAGGTCAAGAAGCCCATCATTGCCGCTGTTTCCGGTCACGCGCTCGGCGGAGGCTGTGAGCTGTCCATGATGTGCGACATTCTCTACTGCACCGAGACCGCCAACTTTGGCCAGCCTGAAATCAAGCTCGGCACGATCCCGGGTGCCGGCGGTAGTCAGAGACTCACCCGGGCCATCGGCAAGTCCAAGGCCATGGAGTTGATCCTGACGGGCAAGTCCTTCAGCGGTGCCGATGCCGAGAAGTGGGGTCTTGCGGCCAAGGCATTCCCTTCGTATGAGGTTCTCATGGAGGAGACGCTGAAGACGGCAGAGACCATTGCCGGCTACTCAAGGGTATCCATCAACGCTTGCAAGGAAGTTGTGAACAAGAGTCAGGATCTGCCTTTGAGGGACGGTGTCGAGTTCGAGAGGAGAGTGTTCCACAGCTTGTTCGGCAGCAACGACCAAAAGATTGGCATGAAGGCATTCGCTGAGAAGAAGAAGGCAGAGTGGACTCACTCTTGAGGGCGTCATCCTTGCGAATGACTAAGTTGTACGCGAAATAGCCGAGTCTGGCAAAGACATCATGTTGTGCAACCATGAACTTGAACGAATGAATTTGTGCGTGTGTTTGGGGAAATCCGTCAAACTGCTCGGCATGAATAAGATCATGTAAGAGCATACAGTCAGCCCATCACCACCTCTTTGCTTGGCTATGTTGCTCTGCAGGAGAAAGGATGATATTACTTTTCGGGGTCTCTCTCGTACAGCACTCGCTTCCATGCATGATGACTTTAGTCCCGATATTCTTCGCCTACCTGAGGCAATGCGTAGAAAGCCACATATACCAAAGAATCTTCAACCCTTACGAGCAGCTCACATGTCTGGCCGAGAATACGCAGTTTAAACCTTTAGTCTGAAGAAATCCGGAGAGTCGGTGGGCATTGAGTTCGTATTACTTGGAGCCTACGGGGGGCTAGCCCGTCCCAAAAAGTAGCGGAGGGGTTGCAATGATCTCAGCTTATTGGCTCCGCGGGTGAGTTGGGATGCTTTTTGAAGCTAAGGGCAGGGGTAGGGGTCGGCGGCCGGCGGGAACCAACGTGGGGTTGACACCCAATTTGGGGCGGGCAGCGGGCAGCCGTAGCCTGTAGGCCACTGGACCCGTCCCTTAGCATCCAATCCATCTGTCGTGGTCACTTCACAGGGCGGTCTCTGACCATTTCTCACCCCTTACACACACCTTCCCCCCCCTTGAGCCCAAGGTACCTGGCCTGCAAGCTTTTGAGCCTGTGAGGTGCTTCTGCTGTAGCGGCGACGGCGCGCCCAGCTTTCGGCCCCGCCACCCACCTCACCTAAGGCTCGCCTGACAGCCAGTCTTAAACCGACATGTTCCCCTCGCGATCCCGCTGGCCAAATCTCCTTATGCCATTGTCTTCGTGTCCGGCATTCCAGGGATCGCGCGGAGCGACAGTTCCCGCATGGATTCCTCAAAGCCCGCACTCGATCTGGAGAGGGAGTTGACGTGCTCTGTAAGTGTCGTCTGATCCAACGCTCTGTAGCGCCGCCCTAAGAGAGGGGCACTTCTTTTTCAAACCCCCATTGAATTCTGCAGGACTCTAGATATTGTATGTGCGCTGACCGACTTTTCTTCTTGCCTTCTTCTAGATATGCACCGAGCTCCTTTACCAGCCTCTGACTCTCCTTGACTGTCTACACACGTACTGCGGTGCCTGCTTGAAGGACTGGTTCTCTTTCCAAGCGCAGCAGGCCGAGAACTCACCGACCCCGCCCGCACCAGGGACAAACATCTTCACCTGCCCGTCATGTCGTGCGCAGGTTCGCGATACGAGGCACAATGCCACCGTCGCCACTCTCCTCGACATGTTTGTCGCTGCGAACCCGGACAGGAGGAGATCTGAATCCGACGTGGCTGAAATGGTGAAGAAGTATAGGCCGGGCGATCAGGTGCTGCCCGAAGTCAAGATTCCCGAGAGAACGTCGGAAGAGAGGCGCGCAGACGAGGAAGAAAGGAGGTTGCTGGAAGATGTGCGGGAGATGAGTCTCAGAGACGCCGGAGTAGACTCTTCCTCGGGACATCGACATCGACGGCGGAGAGAGGACAGCAGCTCTGCCGATGGACGAACCAGACGGAGTCGGGATCACAGTCGGGACAGCCGCCACACCCACAGACACGAGGGCAGTCGAAGACCGCGAAACGACGAGTGGAGGCCTACTGGGGACCAACTGCAGCCGGATTCGAGGTCGGGCGAGCAAAGGAGACGGCGGAGGAGTGAGTCGAGACAGCGTGCTCAGGAGTCATCCGACATGAGGCGTCGGCAAATCGAGCACCAGTCGTCACTCAGATCACTCATAAGCTCAAGCGATTTGAGCGAGCGTGACGTTCAGAAGGAAATTGAAGATTTTGCTAGGCAGATCCAGGAGGAGGGCTTGTTGGATGGGCTCGATCTGGACAACATCGACCTGAGCCGGAACGATGAGCTGAGTCGGAAGATTACAGAAGCTTACAGACGACGGCAGCGGGAGCGAGAGCGAGAACGAGAGCGCACCAGAGCCGAAGGAACGAGGAGAAGGGACACAAGTGGCCAGTCCAGGCACTCTCCGGATCGTGTACAGGAGATCAGGTCAAGTGCATCAGACACAAGCAGGCCCAGTAGCAGGCAACGGCCGCACTCAAGGTCAACTAGTGCAACTGGGTTTCCCGACGATCGCAGCCGGCCGCCACTCTCACAGAGCGCCCTGCATCTTGAAGTTCGACCAGAGGAGAGGCGGCGACGGAGGCGAACCTCGAGCGGCGGTCGCAGCGCGACGACGCCCCTTCCAGCAACGCAGTCCGAGACCCGCGTCGCCACTCGATCGCAGACCGATCTATCGTCACGAACACATTTTGGTGAAGCAGTCGCCCCGAGAACCGTCTTCACGGAGGCGAGAAGCTCGAGCACACCATCGGTGCCTACCACAACGCAGTCGCCGACGACCACCACTTCGCCAGCACCGCGCGAGCTTACCTTTGCCAACCGCATGACGAATTCTTCTGCGTTGGTGTCTTCCAACTTTGCCGCGTCTCCGCCCATAGAGCCGTTGTCGCCTCGGCTGCAGCGGCCAAACCGGCCGGCAGACTTGTCAATCATCAGCCAAGCAACTTCAGGCCCTGTCGGGTTAGGCTTGGGTTTGGGGATAGGGAGTCCGACGACTCCCGGCCATCAACGAACACGCTCGCAACTGTATCCGGAGCCCTCGATTGCATGTTCCCGTTGCGCAAAGCAGCATATCGAGTACGAGCTACACTACAATTGCGGCATCTGCGCCAGCGGAAATTGGAACATCTGCATCGACTGCTACAGGTCCGGCAAAGGCTGCTTGCACTGGTTTGGCTTCGGGTACGGAGCGTGGGCCAAGTGGGAAAAGGCTCGGCACACGGCACACGAGGATATACCCAGACCTCACATGCTGACGGCGAATCGTTACCTCCAGCCAAAGATCATCCCGGGTGGAGCGGAAGGCAGGCGAACTCTCACGACCGACGATCCGATGAAGCGGCTGGAAAGCGGCAACTTCTGTGCTCGATGCCAGGCCTGGGCGAATGAGTGCTTCTGGCGCTGCGACTTTTGCAACTTTGGCGACTGGGGGTTCTGCAATAACTGCGTGAACCAGGGACGATCATGCACCCATCCGCTTCTCCCTCTAACGTACCAGCCTCAGCCGTCACACACGCCGCCCGCCAGTCCCAGGTCGCCTCAGCCGCCTCACGCTGCCGCTGTGCTGACGGGACCTAACATTCACAATATCGGCCCCTTTAAGCCCCTGACGTTCACGACGCGCTGTGACGTCTGCCAGGACCCCATCTCTCCCAACCACAGCCGATATCACTGCTTCACCTGCACCAGCTCCATCGAGCCGGACACGCAACCCGGCGACTACGATGTATGCACAAATTGTTATGCCAACCTCGAAGCGCGCGACCAAATCAGTCCCGAGAATGGTCACGCGGGCTGGCGCCGGTGTCTCAACGGCCACCGCATGATCGTGGTCGGCTTCCGCGACGGGCCGGGCGGGCAGCTGCGGCACATACTATCCGACCTCGTGGGCGGCCGCAACCTCCGCATCACGCAGTCGGAGGGCACCGATGACCAGGCCCCGCAGAAATGGTGGTGGCACGAGGGCGGGCAGACACGGGAGCGCTTCGTCACCAGGGACGTTGCGGCCGACGCCCCGACGGGCGAGGGTCTCGCGCAGGGGTTCCCCGCGGACGGGGGCGTCGGGATGAGGGCAACGGCGACGTGGGCGTGGTATCCCAAGGCCGAGGACGAGCTGTTGTTCCCCAAGGGTGCCGAGATCCGGGAGATTGAAGACGTGAACGGGGACTGGTTCTTTGGGGTGTACATGGGCGCGAAGGGACTATTCCCATCGCCGTACGTGAGAAGGCTTGATGATCATGCATGATAGTAATTGGTCGGTGGTCAGTGGGGGACTCTGAATAGTAAGCCGTGATGAATGCATCGGCGACTTGGGCGAGCACGTATTCCCACTTCGGATACTCTCCCATTAATAGGCGAAATGGATAATTCTTGGTTCATTGAGGATCGCTCCGTGAAACTTCTTTTTACCACGATGTCTTTGAACCGGATCTCGATGTCACAGTCACAGTCAACAATCTTGAGAAACAAGTATGAAGAATGGAGTCAATCCGGCTCGGCCGTCGTAGTCACCGACTGCCGGCCACGGCCACGGCCCCCGGCCCCGTCACCCGCGCGCCCCACCTTCACGGCCGCTAGCGGCTCTGACGTGATTGCCAAAGCTGAACCCAATTGAAGAAAAGCCCCCCCACTACGGATGCATGCTTGCAAGCTTAGAAAGCCGAATGCCGGAGGCCCGTTTCCTCAGCACTTGGACTCAATTCCCTGAGCTCTCTTCCTGCTGCACGCCCGCACAACCAGCCGACTGAAGTAGACCAGTCACCTTTTGCCTACTTAAGTCGCTTCTGCAACAGAAAGCCCAGCATGAGCCGCATCGCTGTGCGTCGCTTCGCGACGACGGCCGTCCGCGCCATTGACCCGCCCACGGCTTACTCCCTCAACCTCTCCCGCGCGCAAGGCGTCGTCAAGGGCCTCACCGGCGGTATGTTCCCCCACACACTCAATTCAGGCCTTGCACGAGGGAAAGAATGAATAGAACCCATCTGTAACACAATCCACTGACACCAAACTCCCTTTTCAGCAATCGGCAACACCCCTCTCATCCGCCTCAACCGCCTCTCCGCCGAAACAGGCTGTGAAGTCCTCGGCAAAGCAGAATTCATGAACCCAGGCGGCTCCGTCAAGGACCGCGCCGCCCTCTACGTCGTCAAGGACGCCGAAGAGCGCGGCCTTCTGAAACCGGGAGGCACCGTCGTCGAGGGCACCGCGGGAAACACGGGCATCGGCCTCGCGCACGTCTGCCGCTCGCGCGGCTACAAGCTCGTCATTTACATGCCAAACACCCAGTCCCAGGGCAAAATCGATCTCCTGCGGCTGCTCGGCGCGGAAGTCTACCCCGTCCCCGCCGTGGCCTTCGAGAACCCGGAGAACTACAACCACCAGGCGCGCCGCCACGCCGAGAAGCTCGACAACGCGGTGTGGACGAACCAGTTCGACAACACGGCCAACCGCCGCGCGCACATCGAGACCACGGGCCCCGAGATCTGGGAACAGACGCAGGGCAAGATCGACGCCTTCACCTGCGCCACGGGCACCGCCGGAACCCTGGCCGGAACGACGCGCTACCTAAAAGACATCTCCAACGGCCGCGTGAAATCCTTCCTCGCCGATCCCCCCGGTAGCGTGCTGCACTCGTACGTCTCCTCGGGCGGCCAGCTCGTCGAGCGGAGCGGGTCCAGCATCACCGAGGGCATCGGCCAGGGCCGCATCACGGACAACCTGCAGCCCGACATCGGCCTCGTCGACGGGTCGCTGACGATCGCCGACGAGAAGAGCATCGAGATGGTGTACCGCTGCCTCGACGAGGAAGGGCTGTACCTCGGCGCCAGCTCGGCGCTGAACGTCGTCGCTGCCAAGGAGGTGGCGGAGAAGCTCGGCAAGGGGAACACCGTCGTGACGATCCTGTGCGATGGCGCGTATCGGTATGCCGAGCGGCTGTTCTCGCGCAAGTGGCTTGAGGAGAAGAAGCTTCTGGGGGCGATACCGAAGCATTTGGAAAAGTACATTGTTTTGCCTTGAACGGAATAAGGTAGTGTAGTTGGTTGGTAGGTTGTAGAGCGGACCTTGTCTTTGGTCGTTGGTTGTGTGCGTATTGTGTTGTATACATAGATAATTTTACATATCAGCTGTACATAGCCCCTTTTTGGAGCCTCTCTGATTCTCTTTTCCCTTCTCTTCGCTTCCCATCCACCCCCGTTTCTATCATCTTCCCCATGCCCTGCTGCGCACACCTCTGTTCCCAGTCCAAACATTCATGCCGTCCCACCATCCTCTTACTCGGATCCGAAAAGCGCATTGTACGTCTTGAGCCCACGCTCGGCAGGGAACGTCTGGTTCTCAGCAACATCCTTCACCTCGGGTCCCAACGCCGCCGCAATGGCATTCAACCGGTCCGCGAGCGGCTTCTCCACCACGCGCGCGGCCAGGAACAGGCCGTGCAGGATCGGGCTCGCGTACGAGAGGTACTGCGTCCGGCTGTGCACGAGGTACGCCACGCCGTCGACGCGGTCGGCGTACGCCTCGGCAGGGTGGAGCTGCAGCAGGCCCTTGCCGGCGGGCCACCGCTCGACGAGCTTCTTGGCCAGGCGGCCGACCTTGCCGTCCACGTCCTTGCTGTCGTTGTGCTTGACGGCCAGCACCGCCGACAGGTGCAGCGCGGCACCGATGATCTGCGGGTCGTTGTAGAGAGCGAAGCGCTCCTGCTCGGCGGTGGCGCCCTCTTGAGCGAGCTGCCTCTTTCTGAGCTTGCGGGCGTTGGGCGCGTGGCCCTTGTCCTCGAGCATCTCGAGCACGATCTCGGCCCACCGCAGCGCCTGCTTCGTCATCTCCTGGTCCCACTCGCTCTCGACGGCGCGCATCTGCACAAAGTGCAGCACCTCGTTGACCTTTTCCGAGTTGTCCAGCTTCATCCCCGTCTTGCGGACTTGCCTCGCCGCCTCGATGATGGTGTAGATCTGGCCCTGCTGGCCGGCGATGCGAATCATCTTTGCAAAATCCGTCTGGCTATAGTGGCGCCCCGCGGTGCGCATGCCCGAGAGCAGGCGGCCAAAGTTGTTCCAGTCCTGCGGGGTCTCCATGGCGCGGAGGGCCTTCCAGGTGATGTCGCGCGAGGGGGGAAGGGCCTCCTCATTGATGTGGTTGAAGCGGTGCTCGAGGCCGTCGATCTCGAGGTATACGGGGTCGTTTTTAAGGCGGTGCTTGAGCTTCTCGGAGAAGACGCGCTTGCGCTGGTGGATGGGGAGGTGGTAGGGGAGGATGATGTTTGTCTGGATCTCCTCGAGGATCGGGCCGAGGCCTGGCGTCGTGGTCTTGTCGAAGAGGACTTGGGGGTCTGCAAAGGGAAGCAAGCTGTCAGCCGGCATTCATCTTTCAGAAATTCATGAGATATATATCACGAGATCGACGTACTTTGACGGGCAGGCGTTTGACCAAAGGACCGCTGCTGCTGCTGCTGTGCCATGCACGCCGGCTGATCCCACACCGACGCCTTGGCGCCCCTAAGGGCCCTTCCCATTAATATCCTCGACATGATGGGCGATTTGGGTTGTGTATAAGCTCGTCAGACGCTTCCTGTCCGTCGTCGGCGAAAAGGGAGCTACTCGGAATGGCCTGCAGGGTAGCCACCCAAAATTTTGGATCGAACGAGTCTCCCGGCCCGGCGGCTCCGCATCATTGATGCACCGAGCCAATCACAGCCCGCAATTCGCACCTCGAGCCTCTTGAACTTTTTGAACCCTTTAACCAAGCTCTGCATGTCGTCGCTCGATCAGACGTAGCTGCATCGTCTCGTCCGTCCCACGACAAGACACCATCACCACAATGAACGCCACAAGTCTCTTGCGGCCGATGGGCTGCCTGAAGACGGCCCTCCGCCAGACGCGGCACCAGAGACTCCTCGCCCGGTCCATGGCCACCGCCGCCGCCCCTGAGCCACCATCATCCACACCCTCACTGGCGACGCCCTCAGTGAAGCCGTCCTACTGTAAGCCTCGATTCAACATCTACAACACCGCACGAACCGCAAGCAAGCTAACAAACCACATCACAGACGGCCCCCGCAACAAGCCTACCTTCGCAGTCTACCCCCCCCTCCCCTCAATCCGCCAAACAACCCACAAGAACCCGCTCCCCTCCCTCGACGCCGCCCAGCGCACAACCCTCGACCCGACCGGCGCCCGCACCCGCCTCTTCGACCCAGCCCGCCCCGACGCCGCAAAAGTAGGCGACGTCCTCATGGTCACCACCAAATCCGGCGAACCTTTTTCGGGCGTATGCATGTCCATCCGCCGCCGCGGCGTCGACACGGGCATCCTCCTCCGCGGCCAGCTCATGAAGGTCGGCGTCGAGATGTGGTATAAAATCTACTCCCCGACCGTCATCGGCATCGACATTGTCTGGCGCCGCCCCAAGCGCGCGCGCCGCGCCCGCCTGACGTACCTGCGCAAGCCCAAGCACGACATGGGCAACGTCGATCACCTCGTCTTTGCTTGGAAGAAGGAGAGGTACGGCACGCGCAGCAAGGGCAGGGCTGGTTCGAGGTTCTAGAGGTGATAGAGAGAGCGGGGAAGGGGGAGGAACGGTGTTATTCGGACTTTTTGGTCGGGAAGACAACAGACCAATTACTGAGATTGGAAGGACGTGTTGGATGCGGGAGTGAGGCTTGTACGTTGGTGGAATGTACGCTTAGAGAAAAAACGGGCGAGCTGTACAACGTTGGCCTGTGTAGAGTCATGTACATGAACACAATCACATTAAATACAAGAGGCGGTGATGGCCATCAGCAAATGATATCGAGTGACAAGGTGACTGACAAAGTGGCTGACGAACAGGCTATGTCGACAAACACATCTAACAACAGTGTCTGTTGGATCGGTCATGTCGGGGCCCACACTAAACGAACCACTAAGCATTCACCACAGAGTCATATCAAGGATGGAAGGCGCATAGTTGATCATCAGTCGTCATAAGTGTACAGTATACTAAGAATGTACAGTGAGAACAAACGCCAAAATCAAAAGTCTGTCCGCGGCCTGAGCCATCTAGTCCGCCTTGGTTTTATAGAAACGACTGGGTACCGCGCCAATCAAAAAAAAAAACTTGTTCCCGCCCTGATTACTCCATAGTACAAACTCCTGCAATGTATGCTCCTTTTTCTTTTCTCACAAAACAGGTCAAATCGCGGGTCTTGCGGGCGTGGTGACTACTCTCCGCGGAGGCGCTGTGATCACGTCGCTATCGGTATCCGTAGTCTCGTCATCGACGGGCTCCGTATTGCGCCTCCTCATATCCTCGGCCATCGGCGGCCGTTCGTCGACTCCAAACGATCTACTGCGTCTAGGGAGATTTGTGAGGCTGTCTTCGTGTGGTATCACAGGGCCAGGGTGAAGGAATTGAGTAAAGATGCCTTGACCCCTGTTCGTGCTCATTCTTCTCGACCTCAGGTTTGACCTCGTAGCGCTGAGCGCAGTTCCCGTCGATGCGGCAGTAGCAGACCGAACCAGAACTGGCTGCGCCTCTGCGGCCTCCTTCTCGAACCGAGATTCGCTTGGCAAAAGAACAGCGCGATCCAAGCCGTAGGGTAGACCACGATGACGACCACGAATTTGCATCGCAATCATGATGAGCTTGCCTCCAGTGGTGAACTGAGAGCAGAGGGAAGCGTTGACATTGGGATAACCCAGACTCAGCCCGACCGTACCGTATGCACTCACGATCTCGAACAAGACCGAGTAGACGTCAAAGTCCTTGTTTTGAATCCTCTTGCCTTCTGTGATGGCCAGAATGAAGAGTCCCAAGAAAACGTACCACAAATCGAAAGAAAGTTGGCGACGCAAATGGGTACCGACGTATGACCAGGCGCTATTCTCGTTGGTGCCCTCCATATCCTCGTCAGGGCTGTGGTAAACACCCAAAGATCTCTCTTCGTACACGTTGGTGCGACGGATCGAGATGGCGATTGGAAACACGGAGATGTACATCATAATCATATATGACACTTGCACAGCTGGATGCAACAGCGAAATGTTGACAACCGAGAAACCTGCAGTTCTGGTCGACGCAGCCTGGAAGATACCATCCACAATGCGAACGTGCACCGGCAAGTGGCTCACAGCGTTATCGTTCAGCTACAAATAGTGTCAGCGTGGTTCAGTCAAGGGTAACGAGAATGACTTACATCCAGCAGGACGAAGAACAGCAGGTCAAGAACGTTGAGACCGATGAGAATGATGAATAGCCACCAGGTGGCGCCCGCTGGGAAAAGCAGAGTGAAGCAACGACGTGGGTGGTCCAGCAAGAAGCGTAGTTCCTCCCATAGTCCTGTGCGTTTTGGCACGATCTTGGAGAGAATCCAAATGACGACTCGCAGCATGATGGGGAAGCCGGTGTTGCCAATAATGATCAAGAAAGACATGATCAACAGGATGAATGAAGCGTCGTTGAATGAGTTCATGCTGTCAGGCGTGAGGGTGAGTCCCAAATCGTTGAAGGCCGAGTTCGCCGTGAAAATACCCCACCACGCTTTGCTGACACCCGAGTTCTCCACGATGGCGGCGTACTTGGCATTAGAGCTCGTGTAGATCCAGGGAAGGAAGCAGGTGATGGCGAAGAGCGAGAAACCCCAGAAGTAGCAGAGCAAGATGACGGCGAGTGTCCTCAAGGACCGGTATTCGATACCACCCAATTCCTCGCGCTGCTCAATGGTCAAGCCCGGGAAGGCTGAGTTGCGTCCCATGGTAGGCGTGAAACTCAGGTACGGCATGTCCTCGACTTTTTCGCGGGTCAATGCAGTCCTGATGGTATCGAACGTCTTGCTCCTGACTCTCGCAAGGGGGTTTTCAGAGCTGCTGCCTTCGCCGTTGTCGCTGCTAGTACCCTTGAGGAACTTCTTGGGCTTGCGGAGCGAGAATGGAAAGATGGTTCTGCCAATCACCTCGGCTTCATCGGCGATCTCGTCCTTGACCGTTCTCTCGGTATCCCGGGGTCGCTCGGGCTCCTCGATTTTAATCGTCTGTGGACGGTGGACATTGTTGCCGATCTCATCCGACAAGTTGTTCGCTCCGCCGTTTACGTGGATATGCGGGATACTGCCGTCTCTCTCGTCTTCGGGTTCAGGTGCTGCATCGTCTTCGACTCGCTTTGGTTTCATGCCCTTCTCTGCGTCTCTGGGGTTCGGGATTCGCAGTGTCTCATCAGGCCCGGCCCGTTGGCGCTCAAGGATGGCAAAATGGGCGGGCGAGTGCGGTGATGGAAGCTTGACTTCCGGTTCCGTGCCGTCGCTTCGGAAGACATGCTGGGCAAACGTGATTCGACCTTGGGTGATATCTGTGCCGGTTTCTTCTTGGGTTTCGGGTGCTCTGGCTGGCGAGTGTTCTCCCGAGTTATGTGCCGGCGTGTTGGGAACGGGAACAAAACCATTGCTCCCCGGCGAGATGCGACCATCCTCATCCTCCTTCATGTCGAGTAGAATTCCATCATTGGTCATTCTCGAGCGGTGGCCATTGGTGTGCATAACCTTAATATTGCGCACGCTCAAACGGCCCCTCTCAGCCTGGTTCAAATCATCTCTCGCGCGAGACTTTGACTTTGAAATGGTGTTTCTGCGTTGTTGGCGAGCCTCGCGGACAACTCCTTGGAATCGCTTCTCGAACCAGTACAGTCGGAGGAACACAACCGAAGAGTGAATGGTGATGGGGTTCGAGGTCATGGTAAAGAAGTAGAGGCATGCTTGCTGAAAGGTGTTGAGTAGGTTGACGTCGACTGTGTTGAGACCGGCTTGGGTGTTGGCGCCACTTGCAAAGTAGAGTGCATCAATGTAGGCCAACTGGCCGCCGGCCGAGGCAAAGATGAGAATGGAGCCCAGTATTGTGAGACTGACAATCCAAAAGTCTGAAGGGGAAGCGCGGTGCGCAGATTAGTGCTGTGCGCAGCGCAAGGCCTTGTGGGCACTGGAAATGGATGGTAGTTGGGATGGTGGTGAACTTACAGTGAGCCGAGATGAAGTTGAAATGAGGCTTCTTGGATATAAAAGAAGGCTTGGCTGCCCGGAGCTGGTCGAGCAGCCAGCCGCGCGCGGTTTCGAGCATTTCTCTCGGATCGCGAAAATGGGCTTTGGTGGTATTGTTGATGCAATGGAGGAAATTCCCCTCCGGTTTAGAACCAGAGCAGACAAGACATCGGCCTTCGGGGGGAATAGGTATAAGAGAGTTGGTGCAGTGAGAATGGGCGAAATGGTCCAGGCCTTGGCACTGTGGCTGTGGCTGTAAAGCTTTCTAGTCTAACCGTCCTGGTGTAGAGGTCGAGGATTGGATGACGGCTAAGCTGGAATTCATGACGATCAATTGGTATGGCGAAAGGTGGATGGGGTAACAGCAGCCAGTCGCAGCAAGTGTGACATCAGTCTTGATCGTCTGTTATTGTTGCAGGGCAGGTAGGTTTAGTCGGAGGGCGCAAAGAGGGAGAAAAACAGGATGGAGAAAGAAGAGTCGAAGTATCCTGAACGCAGTACGAAGTACAGGTGATTGTGTGGTAATGCGTGCTAAGTAAGGTATGGATGGCCTTGATCGGACGGGTCGAAGAGATGAGATCAAGATCAAACTTGGTGCTGCAAGTGTCGCAGGTGCAGCCAAGCAGATTGGATTGCAGATGCCGACGCCAGATGAGCCAGGGAGCAAGCACGCTGCACCACTACCGCTCGAAGTGGGAAGTGGCTCAACTCTTGGCTCTTCACAAGGAAGAAGCAACCTGAGCTGCCGGCGCGTCTGTTCGGTCGACAAAGGTGTCAGCGAGAACAAAAAGATGGAAAAGAAGTGCCAGACTGGATTAATGTACCAGGTAGGCGGATATTTGTGCTCTCCTACCCACCCCCACGGGCCAAGACGAAACGAAGGCGTCAATCCAATTTTTCCCTCGCTGTTATTATTTTTATTTTTATTTTTATTTTCCTTAATCAGAAAAAGGGAGGGAAGCAATCGGCTTGCGGGCGTGTCGGGTGGCGTAGGTAAGCTCTGGACGCTTGCCCTGGAACTCTGGAGACTGGGGTGTGAAGTGTGGAGTTGACAGTTGACCGCAAAGAGGTCCTTGTGGTCAGTCATCCAACCGCGGTGCATCCAGCAGCATCCACAGTCTGCAATGTCCACTCTTATCCTTGCCGTGGAACTGGAGACGCCAAAGGTAACCGTCCCGTCAGCACTTTCGACTTTGGACTTTTACACTGGCACCATTGGAGCGTGGCATGGAAACTCAGTGGAAAAGTGTGTCGAGTTCGACCGACGCAGACCCTTTCCTTGCGGTGCCTGAGCGATAGGTACTCCGTACCGAGCTAAGCTTTTCCTGGCTCTGGGAAGTACGTACGGCTCCACCGCGGATGGAACAGAAGAGATACATCTCAGATGTACCTTGCCTACCTAGGTAGGTATGTACTCACTGCGTCGCCAATGCACCTCAGACGAGAACGATGGAGTGGGCTATGGTCCATTGGAGGAGGGAGCCGTCTTCCTTTCTTTCCTCGAGAATCGAGATTACGACGGGCAGCACCTCACCTCACCGCACCTCACCTTCCCACCTTACGTGCTTACCGACTGTGTGCTCCGTACGGGGGATCAGAACATCTCGGGAGCACCGTGGATGCGGCTGCAGTCACCTCACCGTCAGTCATATCAGGGCTGATCACCTCACACTGCCTGCACCACCTTACCTGTTGCATACCTTTTATCCCTAGACCATTGGATGGTTGATCGCACCAAACTACCCCTGCTACAGCAGATGGCTGCAGCATCATGTCGAAAACTTGTCGGAATGATCGCCAATCATCTGCGCACATCATTCATGTGCTGCTATCTTTATGCGACATACAGCATCGGCGTCCGCCCGCTCTGGTCTTGGCCCTTAAAAATCCCATGGGTCACTACACTCACTACCTGTACCGCTTGGGACATCTTCCAACTCGCCCGCACCCTCGGCACGCGTCGGTTTGCTCCGATCTCGTCCACCAGTCTGTCTTAACGTGGCACCAAACACTTAGCCTACCATTCTAATGGTTACGCAAGGTGAGATTGGTTGCGACTCGCGAGATCTGTTTCGTGGCGTATCATTCCAAGACACGCCAGAACAAAATCCCCTAAAATCCCTAAAATCCCAACCAAGCTGGCGGAGTGCCAAGTAACTTTAATTCTCAGGTGGGTCAGCAACATATCGCCCGTCCATCCAAGCAGAGCACTCGCACGCGTGCTGTTCACGCCCAAAGGAGCAACAAGAGCAATTGCATCGTGACAGGGGCACCACGTCCTACCCTCCCTCCCACGCCAGCTTCTGGTGTACTGCATGGCTCTAGTACGTCATTTTGTGCCAGCACATCTCTTACCCTCCTTTGTTGCATCTCATGGTTTTCTCCGACCGTGTGCATCCCATCCCTGGTGTTCCTGGCTGACCATCTTCTCAGCAGCCTTGAGTTAGCGCAACTCCAACATGTGAACACATGCATGTCCGATACACACCACCTAACGGACCAGCCAAGACATCCCACTACGTTTGATATATATGTACAGCAATGGCAGTACTACCATCGACCTAAGATGCAGTCTAGGTATCCCACACAATTAGTGCCCCTCAACTGGTCTGTCTACGGATACTCGCTGTAGGCGTACGGAGGACGGAGTACACATGTACGCAGTGCGTATGCCAAAGTCAAATTCGTCCGTTACTCCCATCAGCACCGCGAATCCGGGGGTTTACCACCGGTACCTGACGAGCAAGCTTCTGGCATGTTTGCGACCGCCTCACAATCAGGAGGAAACTGGCTAAGCTCCCGGACGCGCGCACCATCAATTTTCCCGTGGTCACAATACTACCGACGAATAATGCCTCTCTACCCCTATACATTGAAACGGCGTGCCACTTCGCGTCCAACAGGACATCCCGGCCGAGAAGACCTTCAATCCGACCAAGCTCCAGGCCAGTGGTACCTTGCCAGGGAACATCCAACCCCCTACCAGAAACACGCATTCGCTGCCCATGGCTATGGTAATGTTATCAAAGCAGGTGCCATTTGCAAGCCACGGCGGCCTGTGAAACCCGTCGGCGTCCCCAGGAGCAGATCCCTCATCCTGATGCCCATTGACTCTTTTTTAAGGCGCAACATATCTCTTACAACGGAGGCCTTTCAATCGTCAGCAATGCCCAACCGATGATCTATGGATGCCTGTCTGGGGAATCCGTACGTCCCGTTTGTTGGCTTTGAAGGTAAAGTCACCCGCGAAGGAAAGTTGATCATCAGCTCAAACACACTGGTTTATCCTTTGCCAATAAGGAACTCGCGGAAAGGCAATGCACCTCCAGTACAGCATTCTGGCATTCTCGTTGTCAATCACAACCCTAGCCCGCGGACTGCCGGTCGCTTCTTCCGTCCGTCGCACCGACCGAGTCCAGGCCTGGCACACCATCCGCCGAGAGGAGAGAGCTGATAACCACTGCCATCTGCCAAGCACTCTCCGTGACACCAGTCATTTCTCAATCTCACCACCTCAACACGACGTCGTCGGCAGCATATTTCACCACCGCCTTCCTCTACTTGTTCACCGCCATACCGCCATCAATGCTGTACACCTCTTCCGGCGCAGCGAGTCCTGCATGCGATTTGTGAGATGGCAACGGTACGGGTACATGGGACGCTCATCTCCCAACCCGGACGCCAAGTATCCCTCCGGGCCTCCAGTACGAATACCCCAGCCGCGCGGAACATTGTCCAGATCTGCCAGATAGGCAACGCAAGACTGATGGCAAATGCAGCAATCCGACTCAACCCGCTGTCTGCCAAGACCACACCCATTTGCTTCTGATTCATTCGCCCATGCGGCCCACGTGAAGGACTTGGTAGGTTCTAATCCAGAGATCGTATCCGGCCGCATAGATGGGCCTAGAAGCAAAACCAAACAATGCGTTGATGTTGTTGCGCCTACCGCCCCCCTGTCCTCGATTGCAAACGGGAGAAAGGGGGCGGCATGTTAGCGACTCGAGTATCCGTAGAGCTCTACCCATACTCGAAGTTTTTCCCCTTCTCTATCAAACCGTACGTAAGGTAGATAACAGTCTGATATCGTAAAGATACCCCGGAAATGACGCTCACCCAAAATAGCTATGCACCCATGGAATCCAAAATCCAATCTTGTTTTACGAACCGTTTTCGACTTACAGCCACAACAATACTGCGTTTGTTCTTTTTTCTTTTCGGTTCTTGTTTGCCCATCTGCCATCCTCAACTCTTAAGTGAAACTCGACACAGAAAAAGGAGGGAGGGAAACAAATTAAGGAAGAAGAAGAAGAAAAACAACGAAAAGAGGTAGAGAGAAAAAGTTCCTTAGGAGCTTCGGTTTTACAAACTACTTGGTACAGCCCGGTAGACCTGCAGCTCAGGATCAGTCGTATCAACCATCTTAATTTTCTGGGCAAAGTTCCCTTTTACTGCTGGTGAGAAACAGATGACGGTGAATACCAGAGTACGGCCCGATGGCATGGGGAATCATCCCTTGTTGGATATTGTCTGCGTTTTACTTCATAGGTACAAGACTCACAAGAAGTACATGCACCGGTCACAACTCGTGGCAGTTTACTTATTATCGAACAATAGTGTATCATGTGCAGATCTATCTGATCTTCCCCACCGCATCCAGTCTTACGCCGCCACGATGTGTTAGTGTGTGTTTTATAATACAACTATACGGCTTCAAATTCGCCGTTTGCCTTTCCCAAAATTCTCCATCCACAGACGCCGTAAACCCGTTCATGATTGCAATCTATCGCTTGGCCTTCTCTCTCTGGATCTTCTTGAAGAAGGCACTGCTCTCTCCCTTTGCCTTCTTAAGCTTGACTCTCTTGTTCTGCTCCATGTAGGCCATGTCCTGTCCACCCGACAGGTCGCCCAACAGACCTGCCGTCCTCCTCGCGGCAGCCTTCTTCCTGCCCCTGGCCGGCGCGCGACCCATCGTGCCGCTGTGGAACAGGTCGTCTATGACCTCGTCTTCGCCGCCGGCCTCGTTCTCAATGAGGACCTTTTGCAAGAGCTCTCGTCTCTCGCTCGCCGCAGCGTAGGCCAGGCCGGGAGTCTTCTCGATGTTGGCAAGCTGCGTGATGACCTTGAACGCGTAGCCCTGGTCAACCAGGAACGCCTGTCTCTTGGAAGAGTAATACATCTCCTGAGTATCCTTCGACACCAGGGAATAGAAGAAGGCGTTAAAACCCTCATCGTTTCTCCTCTTGGCTCGCAAGATACGGCCAAGTCGCTGCGCCTCTTGACGACGAGAACCGTAGTGTGACGAGATCTGAATGAGACAGGTAGCCTCGGGAAGATCGAGGGATGTGTCACCAATCTTTGATAAGAATAGCGTGTTGACTTGAGGGTTATGCTGGAAGTTTTGCAGAATGTTCATGCGCTCTGCCTGTCCAGTGCCGCCAAAAATGTAAGCCTTCTCCAGCTTCTCAGCATATGTCTTCAAAGCGTAGACGTTGTCCGAAAAGACAATGATCTTGTCGCCTCGAGACTCGTGGTAGTTGATGAGGTACTGAGCGGCTTGGAACTTTCTCGGGTTCATGATATACAGCAGCGCGCGTTTTCTGGCCGACGCTTTCAAGTACTCGTCGTAGAATTCCGTAGTCATGGGGCACCAGACCTCAGCGCATTGAACCTTGGCAATATGGCCTTGTTCGCTGAGTTCCATCCAGTTCGCCTCGTATAACTTGGGGCCAATCAAGAAGTTCAAATCTGAAATCTTGTCATCTTCACGAAGCAGTGTGGCGGTCAAGCCAAGCTTCGAATGCGTCTTGATCGACGAGGTGACCTTTCTGAAGATGTTGGCGGGGACAACGTGGACCTCGTCGAGAAGCATCAGACCCCACTCACGCGTCTGCAAAAAGTCCATCATCTTCTTGGCCTCGTGAGAACGCTCCCTAGTTTGCGTTACCATGGAGTATGTGGTCACAATGATACCGGTGTTACCCGGGAAGATTCTGCCCTTGTTGTCTGATGTGAATGCTTCGATATCCTCTGGCTTGATGTTGGACCATTTAAGGAATTCGTTTCGCCATTGCACAACAGACATGGAACTGGTGCAGAGGACGATGACGCCCTTCTTGACGGTGCAAGCTGCGGTGATACCGACGAGCGTTTTTCCAGCACCGCAAGGAAGGACGATGAGACCGCTCTTGGCTCGTCCGTTACCAAACATCTTGCTCAGACTCTTTTCTTGGTAGGGTCGAATCAAGGTACCTGGGCGTAAGTCGATCTCCAGGTTTGGGTTGGCCTCATCTCGTCGGAAATCGTACTCCTCCAACACCGGGTACTCGAGTTCAAGACACCTCTTCTGAACGGTCTCGACTGCCTCGTCCCCGATCTCAAAGGCATGCGTAATCTCCTGATCGTCATCGTCGTCATCGTTCAGTGCCGCATAGACCTCGCCCTCCTTCACTTCACCCTCGCGTCCCTTCGCCTTTTGTTCCTCTGCCTGTCGCACACCAGCAGCATTGGCAGTGCCTGGAATGACCAGAGGGCCCTGTTTCGGAGCCGCTATTGTGGTGATTTCCTCCGTGCCGTGTACTCGCAGAGGCCCGATGACGGAGTCCTTCAACAGCTTCTGCAGGATGACCGGATCCGTACTTTCGACAAAGTATTTCGTATTCTTGAGAACCAGCTTGACCTTGCCGAAACTTTGTGTGCAGCCCTCGATGAACTTGCGAATGCTGTCGGGCAAAGGCATCTTCAGGAATCGATCGAGAGTATTGATGATATCCTGGGGTGACAAGCCCACAGAGACCGCAGCGTACAAGCTATGTGTCGTGAGCGCATATTCGTGGACAAAGGACGGTCGAGAAATTGGTTCGGCAATAGTGATGAGAAAGTCCTGTGCTTGTTCGGCCAGCGGGTTGAAGCTTTCGAGGAAAATACGGCCTTTGGCAGGGTCGATCCAGAGCGGGCGATTCTGATAATCGGGTTTCAGCTGGAGGAAGGAGAAGTCACGCTTCTTCTTGAAGAGTCCAGTCATGGATTCGTGGCCGTTCGTCTTGGGCCTGTCCAGGTACGCCTCGACGGAGAACTTGTCGACGTTCTTCTCGAGATTCTCGTCTTCCGACTCACTCACGGGATCCGCTACCGATTCATTATCGCTGGCGATGCTCCTGGGAGTGGCGCCTCCAGGTGTTGAAGCTACAGAGCCCTTTCCTGCCTTGAAGCTGCCGGTGGCGGCCCCTTGAGCCTTCCTCTTCGGTGGCATCGTGACAGGATTGCGGGTTGTCGGAGGAGAGATAGGAGATGGATGGCTGTGAAATCAGAAAACCTAAGAAATGGATGGATGGATGATGTAGCCTGCAGGCATGCATCGGAGAAAGGTAAGCAACTCCAAGCGTCGGCGTTAAAGTAGTACCTAAGGTTTCGCAGGCAAAGGGTACGGCCTACAGGGGTGGCACCCTTTGTCACTGGCCGGCACCTTAAGTGGGGACCACTACAGAGCGACTTCGCGGGGTGCAAGGTGTAGGTAGGTACCGGGAGGGAAGACTTGGGCGACAAATCCAGACCCCGCCAAATTTATCAGCACCGCCAAATCTTTGATAGAAGATTCTCCCCATTGCCTCGACTTGCCGACTCATAGCCGCGACACATTCATTTTGACTAGTCGACCGCGACCCCTTCGTTCATCTACCTGTAACCACAACGAGATCTTTTGCTTTATACCGCGAAGACAGTCCACTATGTGGTGAGCCACACGAGAACCCACAACCCCTGACCGACAAGCTAACATATCACCCCAGCAAACACATTCTCAACGCGCAAGTCGCAATCAGGTCACCCTGCTGTGCGTCGAACCCCCTCTGCCCCTAACACAAGCTACATCAGACTAACATGATTGCTCTCCTAGGCAAAAAATGGTTCGACTGCGCCGAGTGTCACCATGAGCAGGAAAAGCACCCCCTGCTCCAGAGCCTTGAAATGGTCTTTGCCTGCAAGAAGTGCAAAAAATGCTTCCGCAAAGACGCCCAGGAATTCGAAGACGCCGACGAATACTGCCCGCACTGCGATAACCACTTCGTCATTGAGGCCAAGACACCCAAGGCAGCCATCTCTGTCGAGGGCGAGGACGCTCGCAAGGACAGCCGTATGATCAAGGACGAGCGTGTCCGCCAAATCGCCGGACGCTCAATATTCGACCCAACCGACGATGCGGACAAGCTGGGCTAAACTGGGGGAGGTCAGCCGGTTTTACGAGCATCAGTGTGGCAGCAAGCGATTTTATGGACACCGTTTTTGTAGATTTTCCACGGTCTAAAGGTGGTAATACATTGGTATTTGGTCAGATACCCTCATGAGTGTCGTCTATCCGCGAACCGCAACGCCTAGTCATTCCCTTACTCATCACCGTCACCCGAGCCCGAGCCTCTTGTGAGGATCGCCGCGCTTCCGGTGCCGGGTGTGCGTCCAGTCTTCTTCTTGGCAGCCTCCTCTTGCTTCTCCTGCTCGATGCTCTTGACATGGTTCTCAATCTCCTCTACGGGCAGCATCTCGATCGTCTTGCCCGGTGCCATCAACGCGATTTCGATGTTCTTGGCTCCAGTCTGGACAACCTCGAGAAGAGACTTGATGGCGAGTCGGATAGTAGCCTCTCTGTCCATATCCTCCTTGTAGTTGCGCTCGAGGAACTCGCGAACGGTCTTGCTGGAACGGCCGATGGCGTTGGCTTTCCTACAAGATGTCAGCAGATGCACCGCATCGCACAGTATGGAGTAGTCGCTTGTACCATGCGGAGAAGATACCAGAGGGCTCGGTCTGGTAGAGGCGGGGGACCTTGCTGCCGCTGTCGAAGCCGACGATCAAGGTGCTGATGCCAAAAGGACGGACACCGCCACTCTGTGTGTAGCGTTGCTGAACACCAGCAACGTACTTGGTCATGTACTCGATGGAGGCGGGGTCTTCGACGGTCAGCCTGTGGGACTGTGCCTCTAACCGCGCCTTGTCGACGAGGATACGAGCATCGGCGTTCAAGCCGGCGAATGCCAGGCAGACGTGGGTGTCGAGGAGCTGGATCTTGGAGGGGGTAATTCGGGTATCTTGCAGCTTCATGGCTGATCGCTTTTCGCATCCGAGGACGACGACATCTGTACCCTTGACGCCGACCGCACACGTTCCTATGCCAATGATTAGCTGGTTCCGCCCTTGATTGCGGCGGGCAGGGGGCATTACCTCTCTTGACAGCTTCGCCAGCGTACTCGACCTGGAAAACGTGTCCATCAGGACTGACGGTGTTAGTCGGGGTCATTAATTGTTTTCGGGGCAGGGGCAACCGTGACGAACCTGAAGACTGTTTGCAGGCGTATGTTAGCTTGGTACAGTGGAGCTGGGGGGCAACAAGGAGGGGGCCCTTACCGGACAACGCTCTGTCATATCCTGAAGCCATGGTGACTAACTGATTGATGGACGGATTATCGGAGATGCGTGTAGTGGTATGTGGATTGACGATTTGCTTGGATGTTGTAGGACAATCGCCGTGATTGAAGAGGTGCGGTCGGTAGAGGGTGGATGGAGTCGTGAGGTAAGGTAAGGTCGAGAGAGGCAGGCTGCAGGTCTGACGAAGCTTCGGCGCCTGCTGGCGTGGGAAAGGCTGAAAAGCTCCAGGAGCTCCTGCACGGCCGGGGAAAGTCCGGGTAATGACCACTCAAGCTTAGAGGTCTGTGCGCTAATCCGTACCGCACCGGCCATGAGCTCAGGCAAGCCGCAACATCTAGGTTGGATGGAAATGGGCACTTCTGAATTACAAGTTCCTGTCCGAAACAATTTACTCGTTCACGAACTACCTACAAAGTAGATGGGTTGCAACGTTCTTTTGACATTTCTAGATTTCATTGAAGATAGGCTTCTACAACAGACCTTTTAGTTTTTCCATCAAAATATTAACAACACATGGCAGGATATGGGTGGCAGTCCACCCATACCCTCTACATCAGGTCGAACGTCAAATGTCCAGCGCTCTCGACTTGATACTTTCAGAAATGCAATGCGCCTGCGCCAAACCATACCTTCCACCATGTTTTCATCGGACCCGTTACTCCCCTTTTCAATCGTCAGGCAGACGGAGCGAGTAGCCAAGTGGCTCAGAACCTGGCAATGTCGGCCCATGATCTGCTCTGCAGAACGTTGGCAATATCGTGACCTTTGGAGGTCAAACGCAGCCTGAAGTTATCGCACCACATAATCTCGAGCTCTCCGTCCCTTGACGACGCATTGATCTCGCGATAGAACTCCATGGCCACAGCTAGTGGTGCAACCAACATGTCCGGCTGGACTGTCGTCGACAGCGCAAAGTCGAGCGCCCTGCAGATTCTTGATGCAAACTCCCGCCGCTGTTGGTACCTGCCCAGGTTGATCTGCAGATTCGGAGGCAGATCTGGGTACATGTTGGGAAAGTCCTCGATGACAGGCTGGAAGATGGTGTGGTGCAGGCACTCGATGCAGCGGTGAAGGAGCAGCAGTGTCATCCAGTGATACAGGAACATGACGGACGACACACCGTCCTTGAAGGCAAAGTTGTCTGCAAAGGGTAGCTGCTGCGCATCTGGATCATCCGGCTCTTCTATCCAGTACGCATACGGGTGCTCGGCAGTAGGCGCGCGGGCGTACGACTCCCACTCCTCCAGCCTCCGTTCGATTTCCAAGCAGCTTTCCAACAGTTCCTGTGCCTTCAAACGACGCTGCAGGGTTGCAGCAAAGGGTACCGTTCGGTCAACGCGAGAGAAGATGCCAGGCAACCCGGCGATGATGTCAAAGAGCCTGTCGAGAAACGTCTTGGGGTGCTGTTCCCATGGTGTAGTGCACCATTCGAACGAAGAAAGGAACGTCGTCTTTCGGTGTAAGAGAGCGAGTATGATCTCGGCACCAAGTCAGCTTTTGGGTTCATCCGCAGGGCCAACGACGCGTATCTTACAGCATTACACCTATACACCCTGACGAAATAGTGGTGGGCAGGGAATTGACGAAATTGTTCCGGTCCAAGCTTCTTGACGACGTCCATATGCTCTTGGGGGACACTCCAGGGTGTCATGCCGTTGGTCACCAAAAAGGATGGATTTTGCTACAAGAATTTTCAGCACACGCTCTTCCACAACGACCAACTGGCATCTCACCTCGAATAGAAATACGCAAAGACCTTCGGGGGCTCCATTGTCATTCCCTGATGGCAGCAGACTGACCATGTTCTGCGCATTCAGGTCCATGTTTCCGCCGTTATCCCATGTCTCCATATCAACTGGTGAGTAGGACGGTAGGACCATCCGGAACTTTACTTGGCTTTGCCCTTCGGGTCCCCTTAGGATGTTCTGGAACCTGGTGTGCAATGCCGCGATCTGTATCGAGTACACGACACCGTTGTCGGATACGGAAACCAAATCATCCCATGCCGGCATCAACGGTTCTGTCGGTACCAAGCGAGGAATCTCGTCCTCCACGGTTTGGCTTCTCCTAGAACTCCTCGAAGAAGATGGCTGGACTTGGCGGGGCGGATGTGATGAGCAGCGGCCGGCATCGTCTATGGTTGCGGTGATGAAGACCATTTCCCGTTCGTAGCCAGCACATTCGCGGCCGCTATCGATACACTTGCGGCAGTGTGGCCGTTCGTTATCGCACTAACCGTTGACATGTCAGCCCGCTTGGGGCGTTTTTTTGCTGTCGAAACGCCTTTAGAGTGCTTACCTTGACTCTTCGAGCCCTGCATGTCTCGCATCCCTTGTACTTGCCGCGGACTCCAACCATGTTGACAACTCGGACGTTTTGGTGAGAGACAGTTTATTGAAAAGAGAGAATGACCATAACCGATGATGTTCTCTCGTCAAGACGAACAGGGAAGAAAACGTACTGGACGGTCGATATATATCACATTGGGGAGCCGCAAGGGGGAAAGCAGGCATCAAACGGCCCCCAAGACTGAGAAGAGGGCGCGGATCAGTGAGCTTCTTACGTTGGCCACTACCGGAGAGGCTGTGGGACCCAAGGTAGACCATACACTTGGCTTCAAACAAGCCCCCCTCGCGGGAGCCAGTTGATGGTGTGATGCAGCCTTACTACCGAAGGTGGACCGCGACAACGTATGAGACGGGACCAAGGGCGCGGAAATCACACATGGTTTGGTTCGCCCCGGGACGAATAAGACGACTGCGGCTGCGGTATGCAGTCAGGCGGCCCCGAGACGATCAACGAATGTGATGCCCGTTCTTGTCGTGGTCTCAGGCATGGTGCGGGTAGATTGCGCCGGGCGAGTTGCAGCCGAGATGCGATGCCAGTGACATTCGGTCAAAGGGTAGGTCGGGTGGAAGCAAAGGTGACGAGGGCATCTTTGCTTGTTTCCCCTTACACGAGGAGTGGAATCTGACCGATATCTAGGACATTCCTTTTTGCAAAACCCAGACTTGGAAGACAGGCCCACGAACGCAAATCAGTGGGCGAGACAGGCTGGAAGAGGAAAGTGAGCGTGATTTAGCACCGATTGTGTGCATTCGTATGTGTGAGATGCGCCGAGATGCCTCGGCCATTCAGAAGGGATCGTTGCACCCTGTCAATGACACCCGCAGCAGGGAAGTAAGTACATACACGCAGAGACAAGCAGAGTAACAGAGAGAGAGACTACCGATCGATGCTAATTCAAAGTGTAAACAAGATTGATGTCAACCGTCTCTGATCCCTCCGTCTCAGTCCAGTCCGATGAGACTACCTACGGGTAGATGAGAGCATTGTCCCCCGCGCGGATGAGTGCACGTTCCAGGCAAGGCCCCGTAGGGCTGCATGCCGTAGCAGACCGAACAGACAGGGGTTCGGCTCGGAGGTGCGACTTGCTCGAAAGAGAGCCCCACCCTCGGCTGGCGGAGCAGTCTGCAGGACGGGATGCTCTGGACGGCGTGATTGGCTGACGCCGAGCTGACGTCGGTGCGGCCGTTCCCCAAGTGCCGCGTCAAAGTAAAGCAGCAAATGAGAGCGCAGCAAAGCGAACAGCAGCCTTCAGTAGGGTGAGATTGTCGGTGCCCAGGGGCCGCCAACACCTGTCACCACTCACCGTCAGCCAAACGGCGCACGGAAAGCCCGGTCGGTCCAGGGGGCCGCCGAGAGACATACACCAGGTTAAAGGTTAGTCGACAGGGGTACATATTACACTACTGTCTGCGGATTACATTACGGATATACAATTGGGAGTTACTTACCAAGCAATTGAGGACTCACGCGAACCACCATCCCAGAGACCCCAGAGACCCAGAGACGGAACCCTCTGACGATCACCACCGTGACCA